GGTATCGGTATATCAAAGGTGTATAACTAAGGCTTTAGCTCCTCTATTGTCATCGGTGGAGCCTGTATGCCAGGTATATGTCGATGACGTACTTTCGAAATGTAAGGGGTTCGAGGAGGGACTCTCCCAAATTGAACGTATATTGCTGGCACTTCGGGATTCCGGATTTTCAATAAATGTGGACAAAACTGCCTTCTTTAAACGCTCCATTGAATACTTGGGTAATATAATATCTGATGGTCAAGTCAGTCCTAGCCCAAGGAAAGTGGAGGCTTTAACGAAGGCACCAATCCCAAAAACTGTCAAACAGGTTAGGCAGTTTAATGGCCTTGCCGGATACTTCAGGCGCTTTATTCCCGATTTCTCTCGTGTGATGCTACCACTATATGAACTTACAAAGAATAATGTGAAATGGGAATGGAATGACAGACACGACGAGGCACGAAACCGCATTATTCAACACTTGTCTACTGCGCCTGCCCTTTTGCTCTTTCAGGAAAACGCTCCCATTGAGCTCTACACGGATGCGAGTAGTATCGGCTATGGGGCGGTGTTGATACAGACCCTTGGAAACCGCCAACATCCAGTCGCGTACATGAGCCAGCGCACCACTGACGCTGAGAGCCGTTATCACTCTTACGAGCTCGAAACACTAGCAGTGGTTAGAGCTGTGAAACATTTCCGACATTATCTTTACGGTCGAAAATTCAAGGTAATAACTGACTGTAATGCCCTGAAAGCATCTAAGAATAAGAAGGACTTACTGCCTCGGATCCATCGATGGTGGGCTTTCCTACAGAATTACAATTTTGACATCGAATATCGAAAAGGTGAGCGCCTGCAACACGCAGACTTTTTCAGCCGAAACCCATCAAACGAGATGTCCATCAACTTTATGACTCGAGACCTAGAGTGGTTACAAATCGAGCAAAGGCGTGACGACTCTCTTCGCCCTGTGATAGAGAGTATGTCCAGTGATAACCCACCTGCTGACTACATTCTTGAGGAAGGCATTCTTAAGAGAATACACACCGAATCCGTACTTGGAATGCGTAAGTTAACAGTAGTCCCTAGATCTTTCCAATGGAGTTTGATAAACTCATTTCACAACGCACTAAAACATCCTGGTTGGGAGAAAACCTTGCAAAAGTTGAAACAGTCCTACTGGTTTGATAAAATGAATACTACAGTCAGAAGGTTCGTCGACAATTGCATAGTATGCAGAACCTCAAAAGGACCTTCGGGTGCGACCCAAGCACAACTCCATCCCATCCAGAAACCTGCTGCAGTGTTTCAGGTAATTCACATGGATATTACAGGTAAACTTGGAACGAGAAATCAAGGACTTGAAGAATATGTCATTGTTACTATTGATGCCTTCAGTAAGTACATTCTTCTTGAATATTCTAACGATAAAAGTCCAAGTAGCAGTCTTGCAGCACTAAAACGCGTTGTGCACCTATTTGGAACTCCTGTGCAGGTAATAGTCGATGGGGGGCGAGAATTTCTCGGAGAATTCAAGCAATACTGTGATCGGTTCGGTATCGATCTACATTCAATAGCGCCAGGAGTAAGCCGAGCGAACGGTCAAGTCGAGAGGGTCATGGGCACGCTAAAAAATGCATTAACCATGATCAGGAATTATGACACTGAGGATTGGCAGACTGCATTAGAAGCTTTACAGCTCGCTTTTAACTGCACTCCCCATAGAATAACGGGAGTTGCGCCCCTCACGCTCTTAACTCGCCGTCAACATTGTGTACCACCAGATCTCCTACGATTGGTAAACATTGACGAAGAATCCATAGACTTTGACTCGTTAGAACAGCATGTGCAGCAGAAAATGACTGCTGCAGCTCAATACGATAAACAGCGTTTTGATAAAACAAAAGCCAAGGTGCGGCTATTCCAGAGAGGAGACTACGTTCTTATTAAGAACAACCCACGAAATCAGACTTCCTTAGATCTCAAATATAGTGAACCATACGAGATATACAGGGTATTGGATAATGATCGCTACATAGTGAGACGAGTTACTGGCAGAGGGCGTCCACGTAAGGTAGCTCATGACCAGCTACGCCGAGCACCACAGCCAGGCGACCAGGAAACCGTGTCGACGGGTCCCGATAATGAAACCCGACAGCAGACATCACTGGTGGAGGATGCACCCACCAGTCGGGTCAGTGAACCATCGATATTTGATGTGTCTGGTGAACCAAGACCTTCCACATCTCAAGGTATTGGGCAATCCTAAACAAAGTGATTAGTTATATTGTTTACTTTTTATCTATGTTTATTTTCTATGTTTCTATTATAACCAGATATTTTGACAAGAGACTGATTAACTTGTCAACTAGTTTTGGTCTCGTATTTCATTACCAAGATTTCTAATTCGTTACTTTACTGTTGATATGGTTTAACGAATAGAAACTGTGACGTTTTTGCATCCTATAATCCCTATCCTATATCTAAACCATTTTCAGAGCCTCTGGGGACCACGGTCATAAAAAAATAAGGCCTAGGCCCCAGCATCGTCCTTCCGTAATCCTTAGAGCCCCTGTGGACCACGGCGTACAAAACCGCTCAGCACCACAGCATCAAATCCCTGTGAGCTTCATTAGTACAACAGCAGTGTAATAACTTTTTCAGAGCCACTGGGGACCACGGTCATAAAAATAAGGCCTAGGCCCCAGCATCGTCCTTCCCCATTCCTATAGAGCCTCTGTGGACCACGGCGTACGATACCGCTCAGCACCACAGCATCATACCCTAGTACAAGCCCTATATGGCAAGTACATTTTCAGAGCCTCTGGGGACCACGGTCATAACGGTCAGGCCTAGGCCCCAGCATCGACCTAGTTCTCTTTTCCTTTAGAGCCTCTGTGGACCAAGGCGTAAAAGACCGCTCAGTACCACAGCATCATTCCAGTACTTACGAGAATAAAATAATGCAAGTATGCGTGGAGCATTTGCATTGTCTTTACAAATAATACGTGCATTAATGCGTGGAGCATTTGTACGGCTTTTACTGATAACACGTGCATAAATGCGTGGAGTATTTAGCACAATTAAAAAAGATTACGCTCACTTCCTTTATCTATCTTTTTGTTTTTACTGTTTATGTAATTTTAAAATTATCGCTTTCATGAGATACCATGAAAGTGTATACAATTACAAGAGTTAATAGCCGGGTTACTGAAAACGTTTATCGTTGAATATCTCAATATTAATTGTGTTAGAATGTTAAGTTTCAGTTATGTTACTGAACTAACTATCAAAGAATCCTTATTTATACACTAGCCAAGCTTTTAGCTAGTGTCACCATTGAATGGATACCAAGCTCAGAGAAACTACCTTAACCTTCAGAACCGTGACTGGTGCAGAGCACGCACCGTCTCGCAGAATGGCCGTGTCGACGCGCAATAATCTCGATTTGATTATCAATTAATTTTAATCAATTAATTTAACTAGTAAATTAAGATGTTAAGATTACAGATAGTGTTTGCATACTTTTAGGTCAAACTAGCAGTTGATTGATTTGTTACGAGTCGAGGGTAGTTATTTGTTACTGTTTCCATTACTTGTAACTGTTTATAGATTTAATAGATAAGCGTACTCTTATTTCATATCTCGATTTATGACAAACAACCAAAGGTTTGTTTGGTTATTTTGTTTAATATTTACTTTAGTTCAAACATTTTGTAATTATGACGGTATACAGAAAAAGTGTATTCAGATTCTATTTAAAACGCAACAACCCGCGTATAAGGGCATTCTCGTATTGGACTTGGAGGAAGCAAGAGCTCTTGTGAGTACTATTACTGTTATTTAGATTGTTAACCTGTGTCACCAATAAATTATATTGTGTTTTGTACTAAAGGTGTTTTTATCATTTGCAATGAGTGTAAATAGTAATTGTGGTGACGTCAGCACTGCTGACGTCACTCCTCCTAAAAACCCGGCTGAGCTAAATGCGTCGTTAAGTACATTTTAATATATTAAAAGAACAATTTTTTAATGAATCATTGAAATCACCAATGGAACATTCTGTATACACTCGTGCTATCTCTAAGAACCGGTTGTGTACGTCACGCGCCAACAATACTTACGGCAAGCGAACCACCAACTACCTTGTACCTCGATTTATTAATAACTTGCCACATGAATTAGTTAATAGTGTAACCGACAAAAATATTAAATGTAAACTAAAGCAATACTTCCTTAACCTAATGTAGCTATTATTATTTGATTATTGTGTAGTTATGTAATGTTTTCAAAGCACACAGTACTCGTAATTAGTGTACCATATAGTGGACAAATTTTAGTATATAACTACCCTCATTCACTTACATTGTAATAAAATGTAAACTCTCGACAGCTCAAACATAAACCTATGTGGTTTCTCCAGAAGCTGTCGTTTGGTACATTTTCTCTGTCAAGTTGTTTTATGTGATAAATAAATAAAAAAAAAAAAAAAAAAAAAATATGTCACAAACTGTCACAAGACCAATGACTCTCACTGATATTCTTGTGCAAGGCACATAGGACGGTTAGCACTGAGGCTTTGCTGGTGCAAATGTGCTTCCGGTCGATCTCGAGGTACAAAGACGTGCAGCCATATACTATTCAACACTAGTAAACATCGAATGCTAATTTTGGGCGCACGAGATCGCGGTAAAATCACAAGATTGCTTCAACAGCAGTCCGATGTCTATATTGACCTCCTAGACGAATGGCAACAATGCAAACAACAGTTGTTTTCATCTGTTCGCAAGCGGTTGTCGAGAACATGGGTTGATAATCTGAGATACTGTGTGGCTCCATTTCTGCATTCATTTAATTTAGTAGAGTCACCATTTTAGCCACCATTTTTTAATTGCCATATGGTCCTACAATAGTCGACATGGTGGCAGTTGGTGAGAAGGCCCCTCAACAACACTGTTCGTGGAGTTATAGTACATACTTACTAAAATATTATTATTATTAATAAAATGTTGTACCTTGTATGGTCGAGGTGCGTGAGGCTTAGTGTACCTCATGACGATCAAAGCCAGCATGGCACCACCGTAGAAGATCCATGCGGTGAAGGAGAAGAAGTCGATCAACGAGTCTATTGTTCCGGATAACACCATCGCTACTGCTATCAGTGACTGCAAATAGACAGAATGTTACCTATACTATAATGAAGTTTACTTTAATCTATTTATTACATTGCAAACCCTATTGATAAATATAGGTATAGCGTTTAATCCCTCTTCCAGAATAGTATAAACATTAAACTACGACTGAAACGTAAACTAGACGACGATCACATTCGAAAATAAATGATGGCAATTTTATCTAGCTAATTTTGTGTTATTCTTTATTCTACATTAGTGTGTGTACTTACGTGGAATATCAATCCAGGCGCAGGGGTGAAGCGGCGCACGTGGACATATGACAAAATATCCAGTAAATGTCCTTCTCGAGAAGCTGCAAAGCATAACCTGAAAATTGACGTACATATAAACAGTTCAGTTTAACATTGCTTCCGCTTGACATGTTAAAATTTCGTTAAAATGTAATTTCAGGATCGAGCGACTCGTGGTACTATAAGAACAAGATTTATCGTTCTTTTTACTCAGGAGATATAATTAGCAAAACAAAAATCTTGAAAAATTTAGTTTACCTCTTAAAATAAACTGGCCATATTTTATTCCTTATCATTGTATCATCACAATTACCAAAGAAATATATTACTGAAGTATGTAGAACAATGATGGAGAAAATTTAAGGAATAAAAAGAACAACCTGAACCTGAGAGTAAAAAATTAGTTCTGCCGCTGTTCTGATAAAAAATAACTTATACCTAGTAGTAGTTTATTTTAAAACTGTTTCCGTAGCTCTTACTTTTAAAGAATTGTCATATTATAAACACAATAAAAACGAGATGTTTGGTAAGAGAAAGCAAGTTTTTGTTTAAAGGCTAAGTACTTAGAAGATATCGCGTAAATCATAAGATATTGCAATTTACCTTCCAGCAACAAACAAGGTGCCATTGGCAGACCCGAATGTTGAAATAGTAACAGCGAGCGGCATGAGCCAAGCCATAGGACCCAGCAGACGGTTGCCGAATGTGACAGCCACAGCGTCACTGTCTGTCATCTCGCTCACCGACATTACAGCCAGGTATGACACGTTCACTAATGCATAACACAGCGTCACTAGGGGGATGCCGATTATTATGCTCAGCGGCAGGTTTCTAAAAGAGTAAAAACGTACTTCTAGTACTTCATAGTTTCTTTTTTGGATCAAACAATTGGTAATTTAAATTTAATTTTTATTTCGAACAAGCCCATATAATTTTAGCAACAACTTATTTAATGTAAATGTTAGTATATACTACGTCATACATCCAATGACGCAGCATTGGAACTTCCTATTTGTCGGAAACAACTTTCAATATACAATTGGCACTGCTGCGGAGGTTAGCGAGTACAGAGATATAAACTGCAAAAATTTAACATTATGTTTCTGTCACATAATGTTAAACTTGATATCTGCATCAAAGTGTAAAACTTTTAGTTTCCAGGATTTGTAAGGGACATGGATACGGACAAGGATCTCAGAGTCTTTACTTAGTTAACTCTTGCATTGGCATTAACTAAGAAAAAATTTTGAGCTCACCTACGCTTTAAAATGTAGTTGGAGTTCAGAACTAAAAAAATAACAAAACATGTAACTGTTATAATGCCTAGTGCATTGAGTAAAGATTTGGTGTAGGATCTCGTTATACATAGGTCACTATATAAATTTTGAGATACTCGAAATTTGAAAATGGAACACATCTGTGTCATATATTATTAAAGGACAAATTTATTTGGACATAGAACACAAGAGGCCGTTTACAGAAAAAAAATAGAAGTATTTTACTTTCACCAAAACCTCCTTTCTAAGGAGAGGCCTATGTTCAGCAGTGGACTATTAAAGGCTGTTGATGTGATGATACTGTCATCATTGCCCGCTTTTTCGTCTGCTACGATGGAGCTTAAACGTGAACATTTGCTTGCTTTGATATATTACGACTTTAAATGTGGTTTGGCAATTTTCAGATGGTTTAACGAATTCAAAAGCCTAGGAATCAGTCATTTTTGATCTGGAATAAGTGTCTCCAAGACTGGTTTAGGCGGATGCAACTTTGTATAGAGAGTGAGGGAGAGTATTTTGAAAAAGTATAATATAAATTGTAAGTATATATTGTCTACGTGTCTCAAAATTTATATAGTGGCCTACGTATATATAGATAGACAAATAGTACCTCATAACTGTTGCTAATTTTAATAAAAATAATGTAATAAACATTTCATGAAATTTCCAAAAATTTTTTAATAAGTAGTAATTTAATAATAATATAAGAGACAATAAAAGATAATTTTGTAACCTACAGTAGGTTTTTTAAGTGGTGAAATGGATCGCTTAAAAATGTAAGGTATGTAGCTTGTTACATCTGTAGGCTAGAGAAAATAAAATTATGTATAAAATTACCAAACCTAATATCATCGTTTAGAAAGCAGTATTCGCATTTCCGCCACATCAGAGGAGTACCTACTTACTTACCTGCTACAGAAGCAATGACACTGTTCGACAACAAAAAAATAAATAAAGGCTGACACTTACTTGGATGGATTTTTAATTTCCTCAGTGACATAGTTGAGGTTATTCCAACCGTCGTATGCCCAGAGGCCTGTGTAGAAGGCTGTGGCAATGTTGCCTAGCGTGGCCGTGCTACTGGCGAAATTTGGCTCCTGTAAATGTCGCGTATTACCTGCACCATACCGAATACCAACAGTCAGTGTTTGTAACATTTTTACGGCCCATTACGATATTTAACATTTAATTTATTCGTGTATTGTAGATACTAAATGGTGTAGATGACAGGCTTATTAATTAAAGCCTTAAAATAAATTGTCGATTGCGAAATGAATGTATAAATAGATAAAAGTAAGCCTTGTTGTGTGATGTGGTTTACTTTACCTAATATCAATTTATAAGCTCCTCCGCACACGATGATAGCAATAGCTGCTAATTTGGCTGCTGTGAAAATGTTCTGTACATTTGTTGCCAAGTTCACGCTGTAGCAATTAACTGCTAATATCATCACTGCAAAAGATAATTTCTAAATTAAAGTTGAATATTTACGGCTTCAACTGTCAGCGTCTTGTTGACCTTAATCAACTCGGGAGAGATATATCAATTGAAATTCGTCTATTTCGATCTTTAATCAAGAAGATTGTTAAACATACCTATACATATGACGGCGACCAGTTTGACGAGGCTGTCCGGCGGTTCGCATTCTGCAACGAACGGTTCCACTGCGTACTTCGCGAAACTCAAACATATTATAGCCATCTGTGACGGCTTCAGTACCAATGTCGAAACCTGAGATAATAAACAGACACTTAGAATATTAGTTTGTTATAGGTATTACGTAAGATTTACTTTAACATGTGGCGATGATTTGTACCTTCTCCGTAATTCTGCGTAAACTATATATATTTAGTTTACGTAGTGTCTATTGCGGGGACATGATTCAAATCGCCCTCACAAATTCGTTGATATGCTATTACGTTAATTACCCATGAGAATAGGAACGCGGGCGGTCCCCCGAACGCGTCCATGAAGTAGGCGTATTCAGCGCCTGACGACGTGTTCATTGTTCCCAACTCTGCGTATGCGAGCGCTCCTGTATAACGAAACCATTTTTTTTAAGGAGCATGCCAGTGATATATTATATCGTAACTAAAAATGTCTAAATGTATTTATAATCCAGTCATTCGTAAAACTTGCCAAGTTGAAATTTAATTTAAACTTAGCAAGTTTTCCCTAGATATGTAGGGGAATCGGTGAAGAGGGAAATTCCTCTACTGTAGTCCGCAGTACAGTATTAAGCAATAATTTTGTAAGTTAAAAAGGTGACATAATAATGTAATAGTAATAATGTAATTTATTTTCTCACTACAATATACAATTTACAACAAGCAGTTACTTAATAAGTAATACATAATTTAAGTAAGTTACTTAATACATCATTTAAGTAAGTATATATTCTAGGAGACTGGTGCCTAAGCTAGGCTTTAGGTCTGTGTTTCAGGACACCGAGTTCCCACCCCTCAACATTTTCGTTTCCTAGACTATATACAGCGTAGCAAGATATCCATAGCGACATAGAGTCAATATAGATGACTTTTTCCTGTAGTCTTAGTTTCCCTATACGATAAGTGATATTGAATGTTATTGACATTTACTGACTGCGTCTGTAATGAAAAATGACAAAATAAAGTTATGGAAGTGTAGAGGGTTGATGCTTCTTATTTCTTATTGGGCATTTTAAGCATGATATATTGCCAGAGAGTCCAAATCCTTGAACTATGATTAATCATATTCCTAACTCTTAAAACTTAATCTAAATTCTACTAACAATCACTATTAAAAATATACTATAAATCTATATATCGCATAAAAACCTTAAATATAAGCGATGTAAAGTATTTAAAGTAGGTACGTAAAATAAAGAAACAAAAAAAAACAATTGGTTTTTATAAGTGACACGAATGAATGAAACTGTTTGTGCTCAACGAAAATAGAATCGTCGCCAATGTGACAGGTCAAAAGCCAAAAACTACTAAAAAACTAAGGACAATTTGTCTTTCAAGATAAAAGAAAGTTAGAAACTTTGTCTCCAAATGTTGAGATCCTGTATATGTTTATTAACATCAATTCATTATTGACTTTGAAGTACTTTTATGAGTGTATGTAAGTTCATAAATTGTAGTAGGTACTTTCAATGGTAATTTGAAGTGACATATGGCGGCCACTAATATTTATTTAGTAATTTGGTCTAGTTGATATGTCACTCACCAAGCAGTGAGAGCAGGCCACATGCCATCCAAATGATGAAGCTAATGCCCACTGAGCCTGTGCGGACCAAAAGCCCAGAGGGCGAGACGAATATTCCAGAACCTGAAATAAAAATATACGTAGTTAGAATGTTTTCATTATCTGTAATAATGACATATAAATCACGCCTATATCCTTGAAGGGGTAGATAGGGTAATTAAACGTCTACATGTCACCAACTAATGATAATTTAAGTCTCAGTCTATTACCGTCAATCGTTATCTTTAGGAATCAGATGGAAAATATGGTAGTAAATTCAGAGGAAAGAACGAAAAGTCAAGGAATAATAATTGACTCAATAAATACTAAAAATTTAAAAAATGAAAAGTTAAGCACAAGTATTTAAAAAATGACAAGTTAGGGCGGTATACTATGGGGATCTTGTGTCAACTAGGGTGAATTTCCGTGCGTTTAGGCGATTCTGCCATACATATTATAGAAATCAAATATAGCTCAAGTAGGACCCGTAATATTTTGTGGCCGTGGTGCTTCCCTGTTTAAAAGGGTGTATGCCTATTTTACTTCATTTTGTCTCCCGCTTTGCTAAGGAGGGAAGTGGATTTACTGTATTTCCAACTCCTCCAATTTTCTTCTGATTAATTTCGTTGCGGGTTCCAAGACAGTTTAATTTCTTCCTGGGACTTCCCGAGTATCATAACTCGGTGTGTTCGTGGGTCACTGCTGTGGATCCTGGTGTACAGGAGTTACAGTGGTGGGCGTGTGGGTGGGATTAGTCCCACTACAAAAAAAAGTTAAGCACAAGTCAGGACAAGTGCGAGTCGGACTCGCCCACCAAGGGTTCCGTACGAATTTGTAGGATTATATTATAAATAGTTAAGGAATCGAGTCTCGCAATTTTTTCTCCGAGCTTTTCCTGAAACTCAGTTTCCAAAAACTATAATTACTTTTATAATTTTTTTTTTTTTTTATTTTTTTTTTATTTGTGTTTTGTAAGTCAAATTGTACCTCGATGAATCTTTATTTAAAGTAATTACGTACTTTAAATAAAGACTATAATTTTTAAGATTTAATTACAAATGTATAGTTTTCACATTTTTCCCTGTACTTGTAGTATGAGACGATGTTACTTGCCAAATATCATAATTATAGGTCTAGGTCAACGTGGCGAGGGATGGGCAGCCGCGATCTCCTTCTGCGAGGACGTTATGCTCCAAAAGGAGGCCGCAGAGCGGGATCGGGAGAGGGCCGATCCTGCTCGAAGGAGGCGGCGAAGGGGACGTGGCAGAGGTCGCTAACTCCCCAATCGCCGCCTAAGGGTCGCTGCGGCCACATCTTGGGGCGATGTGACCGCTGTAAACGACCCGAGACAGATGACACTCCGGTGCGGCCGGGGGCTGTCGTCTAAGGCGGGATGCTGTTGCGCCTTTTACTCTGTAGAAGAGTGAGAGGCGCGGTAGCGTCCTGCCCCAGGGTGACTTCGATCACTCCGGGATGTGCCTCAGACATGAGGTACGGCAGGGAGGACTCCAGAAGTCGCCGATGCGTTCCTGGAGCTCCTCCCGACTGCCGAGGTAGGCCGCCGCGGGGTTTAGTGGGTAGACCGGTTCTCCGGGAGTCCCACACACGCCCTACGTTTCCCCAACGAAGGGTATGGTGCGAAAAGCATTCCCCGCGTAAAAAAAAAAAAAAAAAAAAAAAAAAAAAAAAAAAAAAAAAAAAAAAAAAAAGGTCTAGGTCAACGGGAAGTATCCTATAAATTTTGATTCCCTTGAGAGTGTCGAAATATACGGTTTTTAGAATAAACAGCCGTATGTTGTTAACTTGGAAGTTTAATTTTTTCACAGCTTCAAGGGACTGTAGACCTGTGTACTTACATTTAATTCCAACTCGATTCCTCAACGCGTTCTCGAGATAAATGGTCTTGACAGATATGCAGATAACAAAATGATCCTATAAGGGTTCCTCTGTTTTTTTCCTTTTGAGGTTCGAAAACCTAACAACAAGGGAACTTTAGAGTTGTCGCATATGGCGGCGGTAAGACCCGTTATGAAGGATAGGCTCGAGAGGCATCACGGAACCCTCTCATACCGGTTGACGCAGGTGATCACCGGGAAAGGATGCTTCGGAGATCACCTGTGTCGGATCCACCACCACTGCGATGGCCGGACCGTGGACACAGCGCTCCACACGCTAGCAGAATGCCCGGCGTCGGTGGAGCAGAGGCGTGGCCTCGTGGCGGCCATCGGCCAGAATGACCACCATGGTACGGAGCGAGAGTTCGTGGGACTCCGCCGTCTCCTTCTGCGAATAACTTTTTGGAAATTGCAAAGGAGATGGCGGAGCGGGACCGGGAGAGGTTTAGAACTCTCCCGGAGCGCCAGGCCCGGCAACGGGCCAGGTGCCGCAGACGACTCAGTAAGCGCGAGCTACCCCAACATAGATAAGTACAATATAAAACAAAATATACATAGTAAACATAGATGTTTTTCTATGTTTACATAGCTACACTTCTACGTGACGTTTGTAGAGCCACGTTTGTAAGTTTTGGCACTGTTTAAAGTTTCGTTTGGTAAGCATCTTGATGACAACTAAGATTGCAAGATTGATGGAAAGAGTTGAATGTTGCCGGGAGTCTCTATTCAACGTTATTTACAGTATGCGCCAGGTGGCAAGTGGCGCCAAAAAATCAAATGTGAAATCAATTTTCAATTTTAATTTCTTCCATTATACCTACATAAATATACTGAAAGAATCTTTTTGAATAATAGAGAAGCAATTTAATTTAAAATTAAAAGGAATGAGTGAAGGATATCATTAATAAAATTTCATAATTGGGCGAGACACCATGGCGTTAGGTATTTATAGAATTTATAGAATAGTAAATTCTAATTTTACTATTTAAATTTCTACTATATTGGTAGCTGAATGTTGGCAAATACATCTGGTTGCCAAGTTAACCATGTAACTGTAACTAACTCAGCGCGGTCGAAATCGGGGGCGCAGCTAGTATATAGCATTTTATTTACATTGAATATGTTCAATATATAATATATGTGAAGCACGTCTACTAAATATTTATCTTCAGCCATATGCACATCTGAATAATTTTGCTAATTAATGAAAAGAAATCGCTGAGATAATCCAGCAGTAAAGATATTTTTCAGTTTTAGCCAGTGATTTTATCAAGATTTATAGGAAAATTTAACTGAGAGGAAGTTAATCTATTTGTACGTGGTGTAACTTGGAAAAATTTAGAGTCTGTATTAATTAAGATTGCCATAGATCGATTTTATTGGGAAGCTGGTTGAATCACTATATTATTTATCGACATTGGTGTGTAATTGCTTCGGCGTGCTTTTGTGTGTGGGCCTGAAAGGTACCACAAGGAAATAAAAGATTGTAGCCTTAGTTAGCATCATTTTCGAAAGCCGGACTCATATAAAAATAGAAACACTAGCTGGTAAATATTGTTTCTATAAGCTGAGAAGAGTAACATAAATAGAGTAAACATATTTTTCGTTGGCCTTGGTTAACATGAATATTTTTCTTCCAGTACATGCTAGTTTTACTTGAAAAACTAAGTCATTACTTTAGTATTTTTCATTTTAGTGTGTGTTCATAAATTTATAATAGCTGCAGGAAAGTTTTTTATCTTACTAGACTATGTGGCTTACTTACCTATCATAGTGCCGACAATTAGAGCCACCCCACTGAAGAGTCCCACCCGTCTCTTGAGGTGAACAGGGTCGTCCGGAGCTGCGTCCGACCCCTCCAACTGCATGATAACACAAACATATGATTCTAATATTAAGGTTCATATTTAAGGCCAATTTATTCTTTACACACTTCTTTCTTCTTATTCAAATCAGGACATGAAACTCTATTATACATATCATAATAAAACGCTCACTAAAAATAAAATGCCTTGGTATGATATACCGTTCATTTCATTTGAAATCGATTGATTAGTTTGAATTAACAAATAAAGTAAATGAATACAGTACAATATAATGTAAGGACAGTAAGGGCTGGTTGCAAAAGATAAATCTATGAGTCATTTATGGTTATAAGAACCATTAAGTGCAATGTTTCGTCCACTTAAAAAAAATAGATGCACCCATAGTTAAGAGAACATACTTTAAAAGACAGAAACGGATTTTTTTTAAATTTTTATTCTTTTCTTTGAAAGTATAAACACAGGTAACGGCTTTTCTATTGAAAATATATATATTTATAGAAAATATGAGTCGTTACTAAAGTCCCTCGACTAATACCGACATCTACAGATATCGACGGAATTCCATAGAAGATTGAATTGTATGATTCAGTTTGTAATCCTACTCAACACTGCGTTCGCATCGTAATTCCGTAGATGTTTGTAAATAAGATTTTCATTTCAAATATTGCAGTAAAAGCTCCACTGCGAATAAATTTGCATTGGAAAGTGGAAATAAAAAAAAAATGAGGAAAATAAGCGTTTTGAAGCAAGGAATACTGCATTAAAGTACATTTAAGATGGAATCTAATAGCATCTGAAAACTTATTTTTGTAAAATGCATTTATTGCCAGACAAAGGCATCTCGCTGTAATCCTTTTAGATTACACTTAAAGAGCGAGATATCCTTATTTATGACCATGCAATTTCTAAGTCTTATGCTCCTAGAGGTATACCTTGTCTCCTGGGTTGGCGTTGCCGTCGGTGAGCGTACCCGCCGTGCCGTCTTCTGCGTCGCACTCGGCTGTGCACCCACGCCATACCAATCCGCCTTCGCGTGCGCCCCCTGCACAAATATAGGTTTCTAGTAAAACACTAATAAGTACCAAAGATCTGATTAATCCAGTTTAACCTATCAACACTAGAATGTAATTCTTCTACCATTATTCAAATGACAAGACGCAAACTGCTCAACACAGAACTTTACAAAGAAGCTTAGATACATTAAAACTGTTTTGGATGAAAAAAACTTTTCTCTCTCCCCTACAATTCATATACTAGGAAAAGCTGTGATCATTCTGTTATATATAATTGTCAGGAACTGGTTTATTTGTAAAGTATATATTTGTATGTATTGGTTTTACAGTAGTACTCTTTAGAAACCTATGATTTGGACGTAAGGCTTTATATATATTTAGTTATGTTTAGATCACGATTAGGGTTGAAATGTAAGCTTTTGTAAAGGAAACATATATATTTATTTTGATTTCAGTTGTTATAGCGTATAAAATAGCGTAAGTTTTATCTAACAGAAATATAAAACAGTTTGTTTTCTACATTCGCCAATAATTGATACATAAATATCACTATATTTATATATAAATATAACTACTAAAATTGTTAACTAATTGTTCTTTTAGCTTTCAAACGTTATCTTAATTTAGACAGCTTCAGTCCTGTTTGCTTTGTTACAAATATTTGTAGTCATGTTCATTTTAATTCATATTCAGGTTCATTTAAATTTTTATTTCACAACTTGAAGCGAGAAATTCGAATGATACTACAGGAAACAGGGTTTTTAACATTTATCATAAATTTATGTTAAGATCTATCTAAATGGTGGTGGTAATTACGACGTTAAAAACTTTTTGGAATATGGTTTTTGAAATTAAAATAAGTGATTTTATAATCACTTATTTTAATTCCAAAAACAAAAATAAATTATATTTATAAAACAAGTTCTAAATAAAAATATGATCAAGACTGTAAACAACAACTAGATCCATTTATATTTGGAATAAAAGACAACTAGTGCGAAAGTGTCGCGGGGGACTTTACGAACATTTAATTAAACGGAAACAAAGAACACCCAGAGTCAGAACAACAATTTGTGGGTCACACAGTGTCGTCCCGTGACCGCTTAAATCACTACGCCATCGTGCAGTCAAATTCATTACGTCGTTCATGCTGACAAAAGTTAGTTGATATCAAAATATGTATTAACTATAAAATATATCATTATCATCATTATATCACATTTGTAAAGTTTTTAATCTAATACCTATAAACAAGATTTTTTTATAATTTTTAAAATTAGGTATGTATATAATCTGAATCTCGGAAACAACTCCAACGATTTTAATGAAATTTAGTATGCAGGGGGTTTCGGGGGATTAATCGATCTAGCTACGTTTCATTTTTCGAAAATTTACCAAAAAAAACCGAGCTAAGCAAATCCACGTACTGGTGTCTAAACCTAGCTGTAAAATCAAAACAGTTTCAACGTCCAAATCCCTAACCATGATGAGTAATGTAATTTTCTTTTACTTCTTTCCCATTAATTCTGGTGGTTCTACTACAGTAATAAGAAAAATTAGAAGTTATGTATTTGTTGTTGCAACGTCCCTGTACGGCAGATCAGTTTACAATATAAATTAAGAAAATCGGTCAAGGGTGAATGACTCGTCGCTTGGGGATCAGAAATGACCAATATTGTTTTTAAGTTCTATTTTCATATACATATAATCTTTCTTTTCTGTAGTTTATGTATGCTTTAGTATGAAAAATAAAGTTATATGGATTCTCTAATATGTCTCTCTGTCATATTATGTATTTGTTTATTTGCAGTAGACCTAGCTCGCGTGAACTTTTAAAACATTATGAAATAATTAAAATAATGATCAGCAATTAATAAATATAAACATCTCATCATCTCTAAACTGCTTAGAAGAAAAGTTTACCTACTTATCCAGAAGCGATTAAATATTTTATTGTAAGTATAAAAATTAATTGAATTGAAATCAATGGCATAAAATTTTAGACGATATTTCCTGTTACATTCATTTAATTGATGTAAAATACATATACTGAATACTACATACATATGCTATATTATACTTAATAAATAAAAATAATATGTACTTACATATAAAAATGTGAAAAGAGTACATAAATTAATAAATCTAATCACAATTAACCCGAGCTAATTTCTTATTGCAGTCATACGTAAATACTTAAGTAATGCATGATCAAAAGACCAGCCCAGTGTGTATTGGGCCATGCGCAAGGTATGGTTCCGTAGTTACACATCGCAAATGCCTACAACCCTTTAACTTGTAAACCCTACTTAACTGCTATAGTTTGCCTTTTAACTTCGATCGGCTCCGCCCGCGTAAATATCTGTTATCACGGTAAAAAGTATACCATGTCTTTTCTCAAGAATCAAAGTATCTTAATATAAAATTTCATCTAAATCGGAACAGAGATATTGATTTCCCATACATACTTTTCATCCCCTTAAAAGTTAATGTTTCACAAACGGAAATCAGAATGGAATAATTCAAGATTTTATTTTCCAATTTGCCAAACTACTGCATTCTACTAATAAAGAGGCTCTGAGCTAAAACGTAGACGGACAGACATACAAACGAACATGGCGAAACTTTAAGGGTTCCTTGTTAAGTATGGAACCCTAAAAAAGTACATGTCTGTCTGTCTGTCTGTCACATACACATTCCTGTACAATGTACCCTCACTTGTCCTAAACGTAATGTGTATTTTTTTTTATTTTTTTTTACCACATACACACAACGTCATCTAGTCCCAAACTAAGCAGAGCTTGTACTATGGGTACTAGAAAACTGATATAAATACATATATACTTTTTTTTTTTGTAAATACATACATATTATACATAGAAACACCCAGACCAAATCAAACATCAAATGTTCATGCACACAAATGTTTGACTTGAGCGGGAATCGAACCCGCGACCTTTGGAATAGCAGTCCGTTACACAAACCACTACGCCATCCAGTCGTCTTATAATTATAGAGAGATTATATCACTTATTCAAAGACAAAAAAACATTGTGGCGGTGTCAATTATTTCGTAATATTAATGGCAATTATAATAATATTGTAAGTTTTGTAGCATGTACACATACTTTGATTTTTTTAAATTAAATAGATACTGACCATTTTTACTTCTTGGCGCCATAGAAAAAACATACAATAAATTTTCACTATAACTCAAAGATATAATTATCTATTTAAATTAAAATAAAGTCAACTAAAAACACTTTAATATTCAGCATAAGTCACGTCCAATATCATCAGTCACAATAAAAAGAATAACTTTTTTTAAGTCCTATTTAAGATCCGCCTTAGTTAAAGACTAACATCTTAGAGGAGAAATAAAGTATTTAAAAGGAATATGTCAGAATATACGTATGTATAGGGTAAAACCCGAGTGAATATATGCTAAACATTGAATCAACGAGCGACGGCTAACCGCTGACTACGTGCCGGTACTCACACAAACGAAATGTTATTGTTATTTAATATAGAATTTGCTGCACGCTGCATACCTACGTACATATGTACGGAAGGTTGTGTAATGTAAAGGAATAAGATTTTACTACTCAAACACCGCAGTATTATACTTGTCCACACAATTTCTTGATAACGTTAAGGAAATTAAATCACTTCATAAGTTTTCCTTTTGGTCTAGATTGACATGACAACACTTGTGTGCCACTGACACTAAAATTTGTCCTTATTTCTTAGACCCGTTACCAAATGGCGCAATATTTTCACCACTCTGGCAAATATCATCGCGACAAGTTTTGTGAGTTCTTAAACTACATGTAATAATTGTTTCTCCGGTTCGGTTATGTTTTTTGAATATAACATTTCCTTAACTTAGAACTGTTTATAAATATTAAGAAACCGATTCGTAAAATAATTAATAATTTTAATTCTACTTTACCTGAACTAGGTAGTTAATACTATCGATTCAATTAATTGTATTATTTGATAAAACTTGTAAATATTTTACCACAAAATTAGTTAATCTGTTCTAGATAGGTAGTAATAACGACAGCCGCTTTAAAATGCTATGGAATGACTAAACCCATCTTAAAGCCAGTCAAAACAAAAAATGTTATTCGAATTAGAATTTCAAACGCATATGCATGCGTATTCTGAAACACTAACAACATTTAAACGTCACCCCCATTAACGTCAATACGGCAAAATAAATGACTTAAATAAAATTCTCCTACAGTTCTATACCAGATACAATGACAGGAATACTTGCCAGAATGACCACTTAATCAATAATAATGAGAGTTTCGTATTATAAGGTGTCACTATCGAGTAATTAGGGATATAACACTAATGCATAAAAAATGTAAGATATTCTGAGAAATCTAGATCTTCTCACAACTAAAATAGCTCCTTTGATAGGCTGAAGTAGACTATCAAGGAAGCTATTTCAGTAGTTGGAGCAATTTATTTTGTAGACAGCACGTGTCCCTCAATGTGCACCGAAATATATTCAGTTTTTTTTTTGTTATTGACATTATGATTTCCTGAAGACAGCTATGTCTGCTATCTATCTATTGGAGGCATATGCAGTACTGTAGGTGATGGCACAGGCAAAACAATATTTACTATAATTATTTTCTTAAAAGTTTTTTTGTCTATGAGGGCAGACGGGTGAGCAAATGGTAAGTAACTACCGTTGCCCAAGGACCCCTGCCACTCAAGAGTCACAAATATTACATGCCTCATCAATACATGCAATTCCATTGCTTGACGGTACTGCAAATAACCGTCAGTAAATTTTATTGAAATCCAATAACTACTACTACTTAAATATATATTTTTTTATTTAAAGACTGGACACTTCACTTATGATCTATGAAAGGTCAATTAAAGGTCGTTTTAAGGACGTCAATCGGTAGTAGTATTGATCTACTATTCCAAAGTGCCTATCATCTTATCTATTCTTTGCTTTAGTAATACGAGTACAATCTACTTCTTTTTCCTTTGGTTGGTTAAT